GAGGATGTGGGGAAAAGGGTACACTTGTACATTGCTGGTGGGACTGCAGATTGGTGCAGCCAATTTGGAAAGCAGTATGGAGATTTCTTGGAAAGCTGGGAATGGAGCCACCATTTGACCCAGCTATTCCCCTTCTTGGTCTATTCCCTAAAGACCTAAAAAGAGCATGCTACAGGGACACTGCTACATCGATGTTCATAGCAGCACAGTTCACAATAGCAAGACTGTGGAACCAACCTAGATGCCCTTCAATAGACGAATGGATAAAAAAAATGTGGCATTTATACACAATGGAGTATTACTCTGCATTAAAAAATGACAAAATCATAGAATTTACAGGGAAATGGATGGCATTAGAGCAGATTATGCTAAGTGAAGCTAGCCAATCCCTAAAAAACAAATGCCAAATGTCTTCTTTGATATAAGGAAAGTAACTAAGAACAGAGTAGGGACGAAGAACAGGAGAAGAAGATTAACATTTAACAGGGATGAGAGGTGGGAGGGAAAGGGAGAGAGAAGGTAAATTGCACGGTAATGGAAGGAGACCCTCAGGGTTATACAGTGGAGGGGGTAGAGAGAGAGGAGGGGAGGGGAGGGGAGAGGTGGGGAGGGGGGAGGGTGGATGAGGGGAAAGGCAGCGGAGCACAACAGACACTAGTATGGCAATTTGTAAATCAATGGATGTGTAACTGATGTGAATCTGCAATCTGTGTATGGGGTGAAGGTGGGAGTTCATAACCCACTAGAATCAAAGTGTGGAATATGATATGTCAAGAAATTTGTAATGTTTTGAACAACCCACAATAAAAAATTAAAAAAAAAAAATAAAGGGCTATTTACTAGCTTAATTGGCTTCCAAAAAAAAAAAAAAAAAGAAAGTCATACTTTAAGATTTAGGGAAAATGAAGTATTCTATGATTCTCCAGTAGTTTAGAAAAAAGACAGGTAATATAGTTAAAGCAAATGTGATAAAATAACATTTGGGGGATCTGGGTGAAAAGTATATGAAAATTGTACTGTTTCTGCAACTTTTCTATAAACATAATTTTTTCACAATAAAGATTTTTTTTTAAATAAAGCAAAAAAAAAAAAAAAAAAAAAAAAAGATCAGACTTTAAAAACTGATATGTAAATTCATAAACATTCGTATAACCACCATCTGTACTAGATGTGCTAGTCTGAAAGGAAAAAAAATTAACAAAAGACACTTTTTTTAAAATGGTTTTATTTCTTCTCACTCTTAGCCAAATAGTTTAAGGATTATTTTGAAAGCTTTTCATACATTAATATGCAATTTTAAAAAGAAACAGCAAATTACTCAACTAATAACAAATTGAAATTGTAAGAAATTTTCAGCAGTAGACTTTACATGAAACTTTTTGCAGTAGAATATTTCAAATGATATAATCAATAGTGTGCCTACATACAAAACTATCAAAAAGTACACATCATCATATTTTGCAACCTTCTTTAGTGTGAGGATGCATGATATTCATTGTTCTGTGGCATACATATAAATGATTATTTATTGTACAATAAGCTATGTGACAGCTTTAAGGTAATTGAAGCATGTAAAATATTCTCTCTTTAGCACATAAGGATTACAAATGATAATAGTATTTTTCTGACTATATTAAGATACTAGATACTTAAGACATAAACTTGAATATCTAATAATCTGTCAACCAATTCAAATATTAAAATCAATGAGACAAACATTATTAACCCTGAATTCATTAGCTGGCCAAGATACACAAAATCTCAACAAATATACAACACCCATGCATAGTCTAAAACACTAGTTTTAAAAAGGGTGGGGTCAATCTATAAGTAAGTCACAATAACCCGACAGGGAAAATGTCATGGCACTTAAGTAGATTGACAGTGGGCACTAAAGCCATTAACAAAAATATTCAATTCGTCTTTTGACCATATATATATTAGACTTCCCCCTTCTTCCCACCCAGGTCTCAAATGCTTCTACTGTGAATTTTCTGGAACTTTTGCTCTGAGATCAGAAATCTTGTGTATAGCCTAAGCCTGTTCTCGCAAATGTTTTCTTAGCTTTTTTTTTTTAATTGGTTGTTCAAAACATTACAAAGCTCATGACATATCATTTTCCATACTTTTGATTCAAATGGGTTATGAACTCCCATTTTTTACCCCAAATACAAGTTGCAGAATCACATCGGTTACACATCCACATTTTTACATAATACCATATTAATGACTGTTGTATTCTGCTACCTTTCCTATCCCCCCTCCCCTTCCCTCTCATCTTCCCTCTCTACCCCATCTGCTGTTGTTTAATTCTCTCCCTTGTTTTTTTTTCCCTTTTCCCCTCACAAACTCTTATATGTAATTTTGTGTAACAATGAGGGTCTCCTTCCATTTCCATAGTTTCCCTTCTCTCTCCCTTTCTCTCCCCCCACTCGTCTCTGTTTAATGTTAATCTTTTCCTCATGCTCTTCTTCCCTGTTCTGATCTTCACTGACATTAAGCTCTCTATTAAGAATACAATTCATTTTAAAAAGTGGTATTTTTTTTTTAACTTTCAGCATATATCCTAAGAGGTAGGGATACATGCTGAAAGTTAAAACTTCCACATCTTAAAAAAAAAAAAAAAATTCCCTTCTTTCCCTCTTTGCAAAGTAAGAAACATGAACATATAGATAGTGAAATGGCTTGGACTAGAGATTAAAGCAACCCTTATCAAATGGTTGAAGACCAAAATAAAAGGAATCATCACGGTCTTCAGACAAGCTTGTAGAAAAGAATCAGCTACAAACTGTAAAATAAGTTGTTAGGAACTTCTACTTTCTTTGGGGCCCTGCATTTATGGGTCTTTTTGTTACAACAATTAAATATATACCACAACCTATGGCTTTTCACTAGGAATAAAGTCTTAAGTCTCTATAGCAATGTCAGGTCCTACAGGGTCTTACCAGTCTTCTCCCTTTCACTAGCTTTGCTCTAACCCAACTGAAAGCCAGTTATAGATGCTTTTACCTAGATTTTCATATGGTTGATCTTTTATCCAGCTTATAGTTCTTAGTCAAATGTTACCCCTTCAGAAAAAAAGTTCTGTTATATATCCCATCCATTTTCTTTTAACATAGTCCAAAATTATTTGTCCATCAGTCTTTTCTAGCTAAAATGTTAAGTACTTTGACAACAAAAAAAAATCTTCTGTTTTATTAATGATTATACTTCAAATACCTGAAATTTCAGTAAGTAATGTTAAATAAATGTTTTTCTAAACGATGAAGTTATCTACCTCATCAAGGCACTGTCTACCTCAACCTGGGTTACTCTTCACACAGTTCTATGTTCCTTCCTGTACCTCAAGTCTCTGATTAAATGTCAATGCTTCAAAAAGTTTTCTCTGACCAAACTAACTATATATCCTTGGTTCCAACTTCAGCCCATCACATTCTCTATCACTTCACCCTATTTACTCCCTTCATACTTTAAGAGTATCTTGTTTATCTACGTATCTATTGACCATCTGCCCCCAAATATGTAAAGTGTGATCACATCAGTAACCTCATTTGTCATTTTCACTCCCAGTCTTATTTGCCTAGAATAGTGTCTGGTACTTAGTAGGTGCTCAATAAATTTTTGAGTGAACAAATTAATGATTGGAAATATGTCTGTAAAACAGTGTAAGTCTTTGATAACTTGTGATATTAACAAAATGCAAAAAATAACTTCAAAATAATGTTTACCCTGAATCATGAACTACATCCAATAAAAACACAGGTAAGAAAAAGAACAAGAGGGAAATTAAATTTTTTCACCTCGAGGTGGGGAAATTAAAAGAAATTAATTTGTTCTTGGTATTTAAATTAGAAAAACATAGTCTCAAATATTTGGCAAAGTTTAAACACAATTTTCAGCAAAATTAAAAATAAAGTTAAACCTCTACACACATATACATACACACAAAGAAAGCATCCAGCATAATAATGGCAATAAAACATTTTAAAAATGCAAAAAAAAAAAGTTATACTATGAATGAAAATAAGTCAGATTCCTCTAGTAAAAGTTAAAAAAAAAAAAAAAGACTCTCAAAAAGGGTGAAAATTCTTTAAGGGAAAAATTTGAAAAAAAAAAAAAAAAAAAAAAAAAAAAAAAAACCTCTTAAAGAAGGTAAAGATATAGCCAGCAAATGAAAACAAAAAAGAATTGGTGGGGGGGTGGGGATTTGTGATGGGTTTTTGCTATTATGTTTTAAATGTACCCTGCAATGGGAGGTGAGAAAAGAGGTAGAATTGGATATCAGAAAACAGAGGAGAATGATTGGCAAAGGATATTTTTTGACATCTTCATTAAGGGATAAAACTGTAGATAAATTATAATGAATTTCAACTGTTTCAATATTAATAATATCTTTACACTAAAGAAACATTTTGTTTCCTATCAATTGATTTTTTTTGAAGTGTAGCATACATGCAAAAAAGTCACAAATCAATATTATACAACTCAGTAAATTATCATAGTCAGATACCCATGTAACCACCACTCAAAAAACATAACATCACTAAACAGAGAAGTCCCCCGATACAACTTCATAATCACTACACCTTCCTTCCTCCTTCACAAAATCAAGCACCATCCTGAGATCTTTTGAATTTTATACCTTCACATATTATATGTCATTTTGTGTGTGGTTTATTTTGGAAAACAGTATATATTTGTGCAATTTATTTTTTTTATTGCATGGGGATGTAATTTGTGCATTTTCATTGCAGAAATCACAATCCATTTATTCATTTTACTACTGATAAGCATTTATATTTCCAGGTTTTTGATACTTTGAACATAACGGTACTTGTCTTTTAGTGAACTTGCATATTTGTGTACACGTGCACACACACACACACACACAGAGCTTTATTAAATAACTACCAACTTTCAAAAGTAATTTTTCCAACTTACACTCCTACATGCAGTAAAAGTTGCACTGCTTTTTTAAATCTTTTTTTTTTCTTTTTCAGTGTAGAGAATTGTGCATGCTGAGCAAGTACTCTACAATCCCCAGCCCTGCTCTTCAAAATTTGCTGTCACTTAAGTATTGTTCATCTGTTTAATTTTAGTCATTCAGGTGAAGTTTGTACTGTTATCTCATTATGATTTTAATTGCATTCCCCTGATAAATAATAAAGCTTTTCATATATTTATGGGCCATTTGACTATCCTCTTTTGTGAAATGCCTGTTCAGGTCTCCTTCCCATTTTTTTCTATTGGGATATCTGTCCTTTTTAAAATGATATATAGGAGTTTAGATAATACAGACACAAGCCATTTGCCAAGTATATGTATTACAAGTATCCTCCACCTATTTGGTTTGCTTTTATCTCTTTCATTGTTACTTTTGATGACAGAAAGTTCTGAATTTGTCAATGGTCAAAAAATTATTTCCTTTATACACTAAGTTTTCTGTCCTGCTTAAATACTACAAGATGATGAAGATAATCTCTTATCCTATAGAAGCTTAATTATTTTACTTTTCACACTTAGATCTTCAACTAGTTGTGCATGCTGAAAAACAGGGATCAAGCTGCATTATTTTCCCAATTTGTGTATCCAAATGATCAGGAACTTTATTGAAAATATTATTTTAATTGATGAAATGTAAAATCCTCTACAAAAATATCATTAATTTTAAAGAATAAAAAATGTAGCACTAAAACATATTAGAAACAATGAAAAAAATAACAAACACAACAATGTAAAACTTTAATTCTTATAAGTACATGATAGTTGAAGCAATCAAAAAATTGAGACTATCAGGATAATGCATGTAATATGTGCATATATATACATACGCACTCTCTCACACACATATAGCACTGTGCACTTGACAGAGGTGTCACCTTATTTCTCAGTGTGTGGGGAATATTTTAAATACTGATATTATATGTCTCATAAGAAAAAAAACTTGGTAAATTCTCAAAAAAAGAAACTATACATGCCTTATTCTCTAATCACATTATTATAAAGATAAAAATTAACAATTGTATTTTGAACATATGGACCATTTCATAATTTAAGATACCCTCCTAAGTAACTTTGAAATCAATGAGGAAATCACAGCTACTAAATTTTATTGAAAACTAAAAAAAATTAAAACAGCATATATCAAATCATATGGCATTTAGTCACAACTGCAATAAGAAGCAAAATTAGAATAATAAAGCTTTCACAAAAAAAGAAAAATAAATTGGAACATTAAATTGTTACAAAGAAAAACCTGAAATAAGTAAATTTTTTTCAGTTGCAGAATAGAAAATAAATGTCAGTGCTTCAAGAAAAACCAATAAAATACACATACCTTCAATCTGATTAAATATCTAAAAAGATAAAACACAAAGCATAAAATTGATAATAGAAAGGGCCTTATATTACATAAGGAGGGGATAAACTACTATAAGAAAATTCTATGTACAACTGCTTCATAATTTTTTTAAACTAAATGAAAGTTCTTAAGAGAGAGTAGGCCCACCTGGAATGCCTATTGTTTGCTTTCTCAGGTGTCACACAAAGACTTTTTTATTCATTCCTCTAGACACATAATGTGCCTCATGCATAGAATGATCCATGGATCTTTAAGGATGCACATTCGCATTTTTTTTTTTGTCTCTAACGTTCCTGATCTTTCCCTAATATCACTAAGGGAGAACAACAAAACTAAATGATATAAAGAAAAATACACAACTGAGGAGCAACAACAACAAAAATTACACAGACTGAAGCAAAGATCCAGTGGAATCAAAGAGATGGGATAGACTTCAAGATTAACGCACTTTGAAAAACTATCACTGGAGGGCAGCATTGCAAAGACTCTGAATAACTCTCAAGTCCTTTCAAGAACTAAAGTAAAATTATAAAGCACAGCTAAGTTCATTTTTAATACTAAAAGAAAATGTTTTCACGTGGTTGAATAATCTTAAGAATGCTTAAAATATGATATTCCATTTAAAACAAGAAAATGAATACAGATTTTCCCTTGGAATTTCACAAAACAAAGACAACCGTAACAAAGTAAATTTAGGTAAATGAGTCTATAAATATAAAAAATTATTTTCTAAACTAGCTTTGGTATAGCAACTGTTCAGTTTGAAAATAATCACATTTCCTTTATATTTTCTTATGGCTTCTGTCCACATATTTATATTAATAAAATTAATTTATTCCACATAGAATTAGTCTCAGGCAGCCTATAAATAACAATTCACTCAAGAACATAAACTCTGAGAAAGCATTTTGAATGAAAGATTAAGAGAACAAATTCTTCTGAAAGAAAATCATTGCCTATGCTTTCTGGCCAAATGGAAACTGCTCTGGATGAATTTACCAGTACTAAATCTGAAGTACTCCTTCTGTACTTTTTGTTTCTGCAATTCTCTGTGGCATCCAATACAACTAAATATTATTCTTCAGTGAAACACTAATTTCTTGCCTCCCAACATACCCAAACCACCATGGTCTCTTTTGTCATGAAAAGCGCTGTGTTGGCCCTGTCACTAACCACTTTTAAAGTTTAGAATTCCTTAGGATGCAATCCTTAGTCCTCTTCTTAGGATATCTTTTACTTTAAAAAAAAAAAGAAAGAAAGAAAGAAGAAGCATGGTGGTGCACACATAATAATCCTAGCGACTCAGGAGAATGAGGCATAAGGATCACAGATTCAAAGCCAGCCTCAGGAACTCAGCAAGGTCCTAAGCAACTTAGCAAGACCCTGTCTCAAAATAAAAAATTAAGGGGCTGGGGTTGTGGCTCAGTGGTAGAGCACTTGCCTGGCATGTGGGAGGCACTGTGTTCCATCCTTAGCACCACAAAAAAATAAAAGAAAGTTATTGTGTCCATATACAACTAAAAAATAAAATAACAGGTTGCTTTAAAATAAATAAACAAAAATAAAAAGGGTTGGGTATGTGACTCAGTGATTAAGTGTCTCTGGGTTCAATCCCTGGTGCCATAAATAAATAAATAAAACAAATGGCTTTCCCTATTTCATTCTCAAACCAACTTCTCACAACTGTACCTCAGCTATCTCTACTTGGATATTCCACAAATATTTCAATTCCAACATAGCTCTTCACTTTTCACCAACTATGTGCTCAGTCTTAATCTCTTTGCTGATTAAAACAGAAATGCTACTTCCCAAATCACCTTTCCTGTCAGTAGTACAACCACTTTGGTTTTGACCATTAAGAGTGTTGTATTTGATAGCACAATGGCATTTAACATTTTGAATGTGAATTCCTTCCTGGGGTGAGGAAATGCATGTTACATTCCAGGTCTCTAGAGAACCAGACTTCCTCTTAAAGTGTAAGGGTAAAATTTCTAAGCTGATTCTAAGCCGCAAAGCCTGAGTTAAAATGTAAAAGACCGGGCATTGTAAAGCTTCTAAACTGCAAGGCCTGGGTTAAAAAGTAAAAGACCAAGTATTGTTAAAATTCCTCTGCTACCCCCAAAACCTGAAATCCCTGTAGCTGTTAGGACAATACTGGAACTGCCCAGTAAATATTCCCACTGACTCCCTGGTTGTCTAATAACCTGGGACTCTGTGTAACTTGTCACGTAGTCATTTAGGCCCTAAAACCAATCAGTTTGAATGTGTACCCCGCTTAGGAGTGACCAATCACCACTGTCGGACCTGTTCCCGCCAATGAATGAACTAATCATGTTTAGGAGTTGTTGTTCAATTTTCCCGCGCCTCATGATGATTTGTTCTGATGTATGCAAAGCCCCCTGGCCCTCCCCAAAAAGTGTACTTAAGCACTGCTTGACCTCTGCTCTGGGCTCTGGGCTGCCCTCCCTTCTTGAGCGAGCCTGCCTGGAGCCTCAGAGCGCTGAATTGGATCCTCAATAAATTCCCTCCTGCTTATTGCATGAAGCCAGTCTCTTGTGGTCTCTTCCTCAGACGCTTCGCCGGACCCTTACAAAAGCACTCTTATTACTTGCCCTATTCCTTAAGGAATTTGAGTTTGAGGCTTAATTATTTTGGCTTAGACCACTACCTTGGACTGTGTACTTGGACCCCAAGTCTCAAGTTTTCACTCTTCAATTCATCCTCCACACTAATACCAGACTCTTCTCTTTAAAATACAAAAGCAAAATAAATAAATGAAATACAAAAGCCAAAACAGATCACTTCAAGTGACCCCCCTATTTATCTTAAGATAAGGGTCTACATAGGGCCAAGACACGTTATGACCAAACAGACCCCTGCTTGCCAGGCATGGTGGCACACACCTGTAACTGGGGAGGATGAAGCAGGAGGATCACAAGTTCAAAACCAGCCTCAGTAACGTAGCAAGGCCCTAAGCAACTCAGAGAGACTGTATCTCTAAATAAAACATAAAAAGGGGCTAGGAATGTGGCTCAGTGGTTAAACACCTCTGGGTTCAATCCCGGTACAAAAAAAAAATTTTTTTTAAATGGCTGAGGATGTGACTCAGTGGTTAAGTGCCCCTGGATTCTATTCCTAGTACCCAGAAAAAAGAAAAAGAAAAAAGAAATCCCAGACCCCTGCTGATTTCTGCAACCTCCTCTTCTCCTCTTTCACCATCTAGCTTTCTTCTTTGAGCCACTGCTATGGCAAAGAGTCTACAGCTTATCCTCAGCAGACAACTTCCCATGCTGAATGTTTGGGATACTATCTCTCCTCTCACCTCCCCAACTGCCTGCCTGTGGAATTCCTCTTCAACCTTCTGCATCCTGCTAAATTGTCACCTACTCTAAGAGTTTCCCTAATATTCTTCAGGAATCACTCCCAACCTGATAACTTTCATCACTGGGGAGATTACACTCAGTTGTAAACATCCTTTGGAAGGAGATCCCATTTCATTCCTTCTAATGTGCTGAACATTAGCAAGTAACGTGGCAAAGAATAGCCTCTCAATAAATTTGAAATGACCTCATGAATGCCCAATGTCTATAGCTACTTAACAGACGTGACATATTTAGAGCAATTTGGGGACTGCCTAGCATACAACTTTTTCTTTTCAGCCCTCATCCCAGCATAGGCACAAAGATATCAACTCAAGTCACACAGTACAGTTCTTTTTCCTCTTCAAACTAAATGAGTCACCATATCCTCTCTTCTACCTCTACAAAAGCAGGATTATCTTAAATTGAAAATTTGATCATATCACTCCTCCAAGCCCCACA